ATTTTGAGCTAGCTAGTCCCAGATATTCCGACTATTGTGATATAACTGTGTTAAATAGAACTGCTGTTAAACATGATCCCATCTCTGCAATAGCCCTCTACATATTTTATTTCGTCAACCGCTACAATATTTTATATAAATTGTTTTATAAAACTGTTCTCGACTTGAGTAAGAATTGTTGTATATATAATACGGAATAATTGAATCTGCTGTGCAATTGTGTATATAAATATTATTAGTGTACTTTATAGTCGTGATCCATCAGAAATCGTGTAAAAAGGTCTTATTTTGGCCTCCAGAAAAGGTCTTATAATCTTATTTCAACATGTGTCTTTACTACTAATGAACCCCTGTATACCAAGTTTGGTCACGCTAGGTTCAATTAGGGGTCGAGTTATAGAGCGGAAGGGAATTCTCTGCGGCGAACCGAGCGCGCGGCGCGGCTGGGAGACATGAACCATAGTATCCATGTAAGGATACAATTATTTTTAATGGGACTATGATAATTGTTTTCAACACAGAAACAGAGACAGAAGCAGAACAGAGTTCAGTTACTTCTGAAGGCTACAACAGCTCCAAGAAGGTATTCTTTCTTTGATATACTGTTTATATGTGCCATATGTTTATGGAAAAGATGCTTTCTCCTGCTGCGCCACCACTGAGTAGTGAAAATCAACAAGTTCAAGCTAAACTAACTAATAAATTATAAAAAGAAAACTAAATTTTTGGTCATCCAGGTCAATCGCATTCAGACAAAAATGCTTCTGTTGAATTACAACATAATATAAATAGCAAAGATATAAAAACTCTATTGTCAAAGGTCACAAAAAAGAACTATAAAAACAATAACAATATAAGTAGATTAAACATGCTGCTAGCGACAGGGCGCCATCCCTATGTTACGCGTGCGCGATTCACCCTAGCGGCGAGTTATGGAACTAAAACCATGTACAAGTCCAAGTGGAGACCGGTAATAGAGGGTTCTCACTGACTTCACGCATAATCTAAAAACAAGAGTCAATCGCCATTTCGGATTACACACAACACTTCAATAACAACATGATGGCGGAATGTTCTACAAGATCTTCGTAATTTCCACCTTATAGATAGCAAAACAAAAGATAGATATTTACAAAAATTGGTTTCCATAAATAGTATTGATCCATACACAATCAGCAAAGCGGATTTAAGTGCTGAGCCAAGCTTTCTTCCTTGTATTACATATCCGGACATTGTAAATTCACCTTGTTGTACTCGCCAAACCCATACTCACTGAGGGTGCCGATGGGGTTTAGCGTGAAGCGTGAAATGGCATATATTAGCGTTAGCGTGAAAAATCATTTTATTTTAACGTCAAGCGTGATTTTGGCCTGGCGTGACTCGTGATTCCCCTCTAGAAATTAGCGTTAGCGTGAAAATGTCTAATTTTTTACCATGAAACGTGATAATAAATTTAATGTTTAGCGTGAAATACGTGTTATCTTCGAATTTAAAGCAGATTTGAGTCTTGGCCTTGTCGGATCTTGTCGGGCGGTCGCGCCGCGCCATCTTTGCAGTTTTGATGTACAACGCAGACATGAGAACCAGGCTTGTATTCATTGTTGAAGAGTTATCTCCCCGTATAGCTGCGGTCCCGTCTGTGTATATATAGCGATTATGTGAAACTGTAATATCCTGTAACACCATATTGAGTACGGTATACATACTGCGGGGCCTAATTCCTAATTGTCGACAGCTTGGCGGGAAATCTAAAATGGCGACGGACCCGGTCGTGAAAGTGATTGTCGGCTATTTTGATGGCGAAGGCAAGGAGCCAGGACAGCCAGTTGAGCGCGTACGATCGCAAGTTTATATTTCGCCAACACATGACAATCTCGGGGATTTTAAAAAGCACCTGACAGAGTTTTTGGGGCTGCGGGAGACCGCATCAAAACTAGGTTTCGACGACATGTCGATCAAGTTATTTCGGTTGGACAAGTCTAGCAGCAGGACGGAAAACTTTGCAATTACAACACAACAACAGTGGGACATGGGCGTTCCATTGCTTGCCAAGACTGCCACACTGCGAAATAAACAGTAAGTATGACTTGGGTGTACGTTAGACACTGTCATGCCATTGTTAGAACATGTTTTTATCGATCAATAACTCCGTTGACCTATTTATTTGTTGTCAAACAAGTCTGATATAAGAGGGGAGGTAACTCGTCACAGATACTAACTGTAAATAAGTCAATATAAAGTCATCACTTCCTTCCTTCATGATCAGACTCGGTGTCATGCATGTAAAATTATCTAAGATAATCTAACTTTGTGGCAACTCTGTGATGTATATGCAGGATCATGCAGTTGTGCAATATATCAACTGTACATACATTGTTTCATAAAGCATAAATGTACTAAAGCCATATGCCCACAGGCCAAACCTGACAAATAATTTATACAATGAAAGTTGAAACAATTAAATAAAAATTGTCAACTCGACACCTCATGTGCTCATATACAAAGGAACAAAATGTTTTTATGCGTGCGTACGTACGCATATAAGATCATATAAGCGCATATAAATCACATGCACACATCTGCACGAACATTAACATGTGTGCGCGCTTACGCATTTATGCACACATGTGAAATCAGACATATGCATGTATGCACGCATACACGCACGCAAGCATGCTCGCACGCATGCACACACACGCTCGCATACACGCACGCACATACACAAACTTTATGCACACACGCACGCACACACGCAGCAGTCGTACGCATGCAAACTTTACTATGACACACACTTTAATGCACATACACACGCACGCACGCATGCACACTTTACTGACAACACACTTTATGCCACACACACACGCACGCATGCAAACTTGTACAGACGCACACTTATATGCACACACACAATCGCTGCGGCATGCACACACAGACACGCATGCACGCAGGCACGGCGTGGCGTGAACACATACAAACAAATAATTATTTGCCATTGCCTCAAAAACATGTATAACATGACAATGGCTATGAATTGAATTGAACAAATGAATTCATAATTAACATAAAAAGTGAGAATTGTAGTTGTAGGACTTGCAATACGTAGGGACTTTATGCAGCACGCGACGCACGCTAATACATTCATAACCGGAAGTATTGTGACTGATGACGTCAGTGATCCAGAGTATTTTGATGTATGTGTGATACAGCGTCAGATCACACACGTGTGGAATCCAGACAAGCGGATTGTGTGCGTTGAAAGTTGCGTGTATCATTGATAGGCATATAATGAAAAGCATTACATTATGTTAGAACATATAAAATACATATTAATTTGGCACCGATATGAGTGATTTGGCGACACATATTTGGCACACGTCTGCAAATACTTCAACTGATTGTATTCAAATGTCAAAGTCAATAAATATTTACACAGATTCGTCCTCCAACTCGGGAGCCACCATGTCCACGCCGTCCAGGTCACAGATCCTGTCGATATCCTCATCCGCTGAACTGCCGACGTTTGACTGGGGCTTGACCTTCAAGAACATGGTGATCTTAGAACTACTCTTTGCTTCCTTTTCAGCTTCACTCCTTTTCCGACTGCAGTTGTCGAAATGAACTGTAACATAACCAATTATTATTGTACCTAACATTGTATTTGTGTATTCCACAATCAAATCATGGACTGTATGTCCCCCACTTCCAAATAAAATAAGACATGTATACATCATAACTTAACATGTAGATCAATTTTGAACTGAACATTAAATATGCGCAACAATGCATGGATCACACTGGTTTTTGACTTCACCCACTACATGCAAAGTATTGATGAGATCGGCCCAGTATTTAGGCGAATAACATTATTAAGAGATCTAAAAAAAAAAATCAATCACACATGAATGTACAACTACATTGTACCTTGGGGTACCGATGTCCGATGATGTGTACAAAATATGGATGAAATAAGTCGGAACTGTGCAAGTCGTCCGAACAAGAAAATTTATTTTTTAAGGGAGATAACTCTTTCTTAAAGGGTGTGACTAAAAATATCAATTGTATATGTACAACTAGTCAACTGCATTGGGTGTCGATGATGTGTGCCAAATATAGTTGAAATCGGTCAATCAATTTAGGAGAAATTGTCCCGACATGCTTAAAAAGGGGGACAACTCTTCTAAAAAGAGTCGGACCAAAAATCAGAAGAAACAGAAGATGTGTAACAAACAGTATTTATGGAAGAAATCTTCAGGCAATATTTAATGGACAGACAGACGACAGACGGGCTGAAAAGTGAATACAGATCATTCCAGTATATGGTAACTTGCTGCAGGTGTATACTTAAATGATATTGTTTGGGCATTGGTGTAATTTGATAAAAATAATCACACTCGGTACACATGTCGATATGTAAATTCCAGTGACTTGAAAAAATATAAATATAACAAATACAAAATTGAATCTCTAAGTCTAATCTACATGTACTTGTAAAGAGGGTGACCGTTGGACTTTATATTATATAATATATACAAACAGTAATATTTGTTACCGTTACCTTTCTTAAAGTAGGTTATCCTTCCGGACGCACTCCTGTCCCCACAGATCTTGTAGGACTCCCTGCAGATGCCACATCTGAACTTTAGCTCTGAGATGGCGGTAGATCCAGATAAGTCTGCCAGTGCTATAAGAACACACCATAGAAACATTAAAAACAGTGTAGTTACATATATGATTATGAAAACAAATTAATAATATTTTTTGTTTTATTATACATTCGATAGATGGCTACATGCCTCATTATGCGGAAGATATCTCAATACCAAATTTGAACTAGATATTTGTTTTTGGTGTCTCCCCCCCCCTCCCATTCATTGTAGCCCTTAACTCAATATATCACTCAATAATCCTCCATTTAGTTGTACATGATAATAGACAGAAGGACACAACTCTCTCTCTCTCTCTCTCTCTATGTATAGGAGAGACGTAATTACCTGAAATTGGTTTCTTTCTTGATGTGTATATCAAAAATTTAGGTCCAAATCCATCATTTCACTTAGCGCGATGACCAAGATTTTATCCCCTTCGCAATACACTCACTGTGTAGAGTGTCATGTAATTAAACACTTAAAACGTGTCGGAATCTGACTATTATATAAATCACATGTAGGCTCGCAATTAAGATGAAACAATTTGTGTTGACCTTGTTGTAAATATGTACAATTGCCTTATTGTATAGTGACACTTTATATAGTGAATTTAGTGATCATATAAACATTTAAGTATTTACTTTGTAATAAAGAATTAGGACAATAATAATATGTAATTTCATAATCGATTGTCTCAATTGAGCAAATTTGAGTGGTCAGTGATTTATATATGTAAATTATTAAGTGATCATATTATATAAACACCTTTCACCAGCTCCTCAAACTCCTTTCCTTGCCGCTCATTTCTATCTGGCTCCAGGCCCAACCGCACCCGCTTCAGCATGGCCTGGTCTTCTTTCACCAGCGGTTGAAGTTTCGTTTCGTGGGCGTCTTCAGATCTGGCGTCCGGACGCGCCTAACCCTAACCTAAATGACATTAAACCCGACAACTACTCTATGGAGCATGAGGCATGACCATATATATATATATATATATATATATATCGTATATATATAATATGTTTATGTATGACGGCATTAATTTAATGACTATTAAAGTTGGGAACATTTAAATCCGCGTACATTTAATACATTTATTGGCACCACTCCCCATGCGCCACTCCTGCTACGGCTCTAACTCCTTTACATAAGCTTCTACAGACGCTTCCAACGCAGCTGAAGCTAGCAGCAAAGCTAACACTCCTACCCACGCTCTACTCCGTTTACAGTCTAGCATTGCGCGTTGCAAGGCGCAGCTGAAGCTACATCAAACCTAACATGCTTTACATCGTACAGTTTGCAAATACATGTTATTGGCAGCACTCGCACACCGCCGGACTACTAGCCACTGCTCTACTACTTTACAGGCTCTTATCATCGCTTCACACCAGCTGGGCAACTACACAAGACCTAAACATCTTTAAATCGTACATGCATGCAATACATTTATTGGGCACATTATACACGAGGCAGACACCCCTGCAAGCGAAGGCCAGGAGCGAACGGGCTGACTCTTTTGCTTAGTCTCCTTGTCGCTTCTTCTTCTTCTTCTTCTCTGGGAGGAGGGGATGGCGGAGCGAGAGCTGGAGCTTCTCACGATTCTGTTCGATACGAGGAGAACGCACCGTGATATTGCAGCGAAGTGGAGACCGACTAAAAAGCACTGCGAGCAAGAGGCTAGTGAGAGAGGGGTGACAGCCGCGACAAGACCTACGTGGGAAGAGAGGTGACAGCGACAAGACCTAGTGAGAGAGGTCACACCGCGGACAAGACCTAGTGAGAGAGGTCAACAGGACCGCGACAAGACTAGTGAGAGAGGTATACATGGCGCGACAAGAGCTAGTGAGAGAGGTTGACACCCGGCGAGCAAGACCGTAGTGAGAGAGGTGAAACACCCGCGAGCAAGACGGCTTAGTGCGAGAGTCAGCAGGCGCCGCGACAAGACTAGTGAGAGAGGTGACACCGCGACAGCCCAGTACCTAGTGGAGAGTAACACGCGCGCCAAGATAGTGAGAGAGGTGACAGCGCGGCGACAAGAGCTAGTGAGAGCAGGTGACACGCGCGAGCAAGACCTAGTGAGAGAGGTAACACCGCGAACAGAAGACCTAGTGAGAGAGATCACACGCGACAAGACCGTAGTGAGAGAGGTGACACCGGCGAAAGACCTAGTGAGAGAGGTCGACAGCGATCAAGAGCCGCTAGTGAGCAGAGGTGACCGCCACGAGAAGACCTAGTGAGAGAGGTGACATCCGGCGAGTCAAGACCTAGTGAGAAGAGGTAACACCGGCGACAAGACGCTAGTGAGAGAGTCAGCACGCGAACAAACCTAGTGAGAGAGGTGACAGGCCGCCGACATAGACCTAGTGAGAGAGGTAAGCACCGCGACAAGACGTAGTGCGGAGGTGACACGCGACAAGACGGCTAGTGAGAGAGGTAAGCACGCGCGACAAGACCTAGTGAGGAGAGGTGACACCTGCGACAGACGGCTAGTGAGAGAGGTAACACCGCGACACAGACTAGTAGAGAGGTAACACCGTGCGAGTAAGAACCTAGTGAGAGAGATCACAATGCCGGACAAGACCGTAGTGAGAAGAGGTGACACAACGACAAGTACTAGTGAGAGGAGGTGACAGCGGGGGACAGACCAGTGAGAGAGGTAACAACCGGACAAGACCGTAGTGAGAGAGAATCACCACGCGCGACAAGACCTTAGTGAGAGAGGTGACAACCGCGGACAAGTACGCTAGTGAAGAGAGGTGACACCGCGACAAGACCTTAGTGAGAGAGTATCACACCGTGAAAGAACATTCCTCCATTTTATCCTCCAAACTGAACCTAATCTATCCGCACTTCTCACCTGACCTCATATGTTTATGGCTTAGCCACAATTAAAAAAACTCTTTGTCTGGGCTCTCCACCGACGGCAGGCTGAATCGGTTTTTGAAAGACTTTATACTTTTTTGGAGGGGTCTTTTTTACAATTCAGCATGGTGTCAACATGTCACCTTTTATGTTTGAATGTTCTGTGTTTGCAATGGTAGCACTATAATGTATTGCTACAGATTTATATAATTACAGTGATACAATTTGTAAAAAAAAGAATGGGAAAGATCAAGAGATTTTTTGAGTCGACGCCCCTTTTTGGCAGGGTCGGTCGGTGAGGGCAAACATAACTAATATTTTTTTATCATGGCATTACATCTGATCCTAAAACTGATCTTATGTATAAGATCACCTCCCTCCCTCACCAGACCTTCTCTACGACTCACTGTCAAGAGGAACACTCACTGATAAGGCTTCTGCTTCTGCTTCTTCTCCTCCTCTTCCTTTGCCTCAGCGGCGGCTTCTCTCTCTTTGCGTGCCGGGTCAAAGCTGCTGCCCTCCACGAAGGTATTTAACTGATGCCAAATGCCTCCTTCATCTTCGCATTCTTCGCTAGGTTGGCTTCAGCCGATCCTCATGTGTCCTTAGTTGGCACTGCAAACAAAATAATTACAACTGTATATATATATATATATATATATTACATATATACATTACATAATATAACATATAATTACATATATATATTACATAAAATAACATATAATTACATAATATGATATATATATATTACATAAATAATCGATATAATTACACATACTATATGACACAGAGGCCAGCCGCGCACGGATATGTACCAGTCACACGGCCCACATACACATAGCACACACGCACACACATGCCATACACATAACACACTGCATGCCACAGCATACACACACATAGTCACGCAACGCACTTAGCACGATACATGCATACACATACTACACAGGTACACGCACACACATACACACACATGCATACAGCATACACACACACACGCATAGCACATACACATACACACACATAGATTAGACCCTTTCAAGAGAGCGTGTGTACGGTTAGCCTCGCGATAAACATTGTCAGGCAAATGCATATGAGGCGGGCATAAGTGCGGAAACCATTTCCATCGCGCGCGGCTCGTTAATGAGCGTGCAGAACTCCGCGCGGATGCTGAGCGAGTGCTGTCGGCACGGCGACGGCTGCCGACGTTGGAGAGTCTGTCGTAAGATGTTGGGCGGAGGAGGAGGGGTGGATGTTGGTAACCGTGGGGGGGAGGAGGAGGGGGGATGTTTGGTAAGTGGGGGAGGGGGGAGGGGGCGAGGTGGTTGGTCGCGGTAAGGCAAAACATTGTGTGTTTTTTCACGCCCCGACAATATCCATGTTAACTGCGACGTTTTTATCCCAGATAATAACCATGGTAACCGAGACAGCTCCTCCTCTCTCCATTAGCTGTTATCAAGTACATAATAGAACATTTTTTATTGATGGACTGCGTTGCTGTTATTCAACGCTTGTTGTCCGAAAAAAATCATTGTGCAAACTAAATAAGGAAATACCATGCTGATCACGGCTTAGCAAATATCGTATACGTGCAGTCGGCCAAGTTGACGGGGCAGAGGAAAAAATACGCATTTTTTTTCAGGAGCGGGGGCGGAGCTCTTTTTCAAGTCTGTGGGGAAAATAGCTGCGCGGTGCAAAAATTTTAGCGTAGCTATTTTGAGCATCAGCGGGAGCGATTTCGGGAGGTTTGAAGAGCGAAGTCGATCATCGGCTCCCGTGTTTTTTTAGCGCCTGGAGTCGAACACAGATTCTCTCGTCGCAGGCTGCGACATTTCGTCTGTTTACATGTCAAACAAAGAGAACGTTTCTATTCGTTGCAACATTCCCTCGACGCATGTCGTTTTAAACGCATCAAACAAAAAGGTTTCCCTTCCCTTAAATCTATGACATTGTTAACCCTAACTATATACATTTTGTGTATGGCCGAGGAGTACGCGGAAGATCAGAAGTACAGTACGCGTGGTAAGCACAGAACGGTCAAGAAAAAATGAAGACAGTTGATTAAAACAGTGAGAATATCGCTCGCTTTAAGCTCGAGAGCAGGAGTCAACAACAATGCCGTCCTTATTTTTTTAGAAACAACCATGCAACGATTCCAAAGCGCTTATTCGAGTTGTATAAGTTGACACTCTGATGTGACGGCTGAATATGATGCAAGGAGTTATCAAGAGTAAGAAGACTGAAACGCGAAAAATTCAACAATTTAGTTGCTTTAGTCTAGCCTATGATTTTGATTGTGTTTTAACTGCGATAAACTTGAGCTCAAATCTTACGCTATTCATTAAACTAATTCGCGCTGTCTAATTCGTTGGTCGTCACAAAAATGACAAATCGGGAGAAATATCGGTCCAAACGCTACATGTGGTTTTTTGAAATTTATGACCGCTATTGTCAATCAACGGTGAACCAGAAACATAAGGGCAATGCGTTTTGAAAGCCCTTAGTCGCCATAGCAATGCAAACATAGCAAAACAACTAGCGAGTTTGCCCAGGTATTCGTCGGAAAGTTAAACACGACTTGGTGTTATTTATAGGCCATGCGAATGACAGTTGACATGTTATAAAAACCTTTGTTACGAAAAAATAAAATGGGTAAAAAATCGCTAAACATTGTTGAAATTTTTTATTTCTAATGTAAATAGTATAAGATAACACGGCAAGTCCGTGTTACTTTCCCGAAATCGCCTGGCAAACCTGCGCTAGTATGTTTGCTTATGGTTTGGCATTGCTATGCGATAGAGGGGCTTTAAACACAATAAATCATAGGTAGACTATAAGGCAACTAAATGTTGAGATTTTTGCCGGTTTCAGTCTGTTTAACTCTGATTGATAGACTCCTGATATGATCGCAGTTAGCAAATAACGTAAACTACGCAACTGCCACGTAAAATGCGTGATCCCCTGTAGCGTGCAGTGGCT